TAAAGAGAAAAAAACAAGGAAAAGACAAAAAACTTAAAAGATCACAGGCCACGTCACGCAATTTCCAGTCGATAACAACATTAACGACAATGTTTACTTTACACAACTCACCTTAGCCAGGTGGTTGAGAGCTTAGGCTTCCAACTAAGAGGGTCTGCGGGAACTTTTATTACGTCCGGTGTAAGGACGTAGAGGAACGTCCGGTTGGAGACAAAATCCGGCAAAAAAATTCAGTATTTGCGTGGTACAACTAGGTATTATTTGATATTAACGAAGAATATCGCTCTTTGAAGACCAATACCGAGAAGACCAATACCGAGTTATACCTAGCTGTACCGAGAAATGCCGAGTTGTACCGAGTTTTTCTAGAAAAAACTCGGTACAAATTTTGTATAACTCGGTATTTCTTGGTTTAGCTCGGTATATCTCGGTATTTTGTCTTCAAATGATGCTATTCCTCGTTATTGTTTGACATTGCTCGGTATTTGCTCGGTACAACTCGTTTTTTGGCGGGATTTGGCCTCCAACCGGACGTTTCTCTGATAATTGTTCCTTGGGTTTGTATCTTCCAACTAGAGCAGTGTAAAACTTACTGAATAATCATGACAAGAATCCAATCACATAAAATAGCGGCCTTCAAATGACCCGATTAGGAAAGTAAATATAATAGATTTGACTTATGTTAAGAAAGATAGATGTAGACATAAAAAGACTTTGTTTGAAAATGTTAGAAATAATCTTTCTTCATTAGATTTAAACGAGAATTTGACTTTTAACAAGACACAATGAAAAAAAATGATTCAGGTAGCTGGCCCCACATGAGGCAAAGATATGATGATGATGTTGTAGTAGTATTTTAAACTACCAAACAAGCGTGTTCATGAACATACAATGAGTTCTTTTAGCTATCAAATGAGACTGTTCGCGAACATATCTGGCTAGAGTTTTCGAACTATCAAGCTATAAAAATATTAACTTCTTCATAACAACGATAATACACTAATTAATAAACCAAATCTAACATTCATACAAGAAATATTTCATCTTTTGACATCCAAACTACCTTAACTGTCATTTCATAAAAATAATAAACATACAAATGTAATATCTATATATCTAATAAAGATTAAAGTAATGGAAACAGATTATATTTATAAGAAGTCAATACAGATAAGATACCCTACTCCCGAGACTTAACAACCAAAATCCAAAATGAGCATCAAACACGCACATTTTAAAGAAAACAAGCAGCAAACATTATCGTTAAAAACAAACAGATTCAACGGCTACCTGCAACTGCTGATTCAAAAGAAACCAGGAATTTCTCCAGGCAAGGGAGCCAGTTCATTTTTCCCAAATCTCTCCTCATCATAAAATGCAGCTCGAACCACCCTTCCACCAAAGTACCGGCCATCTAGATCGATCAGAGCTTTTGTTGTTTCTTCTGTTCTCTCAAACTGCACAAAGATCCTCACAGCTTCATCAGCTGGAAAGTTGGGCTCTGTGATCTCAAAGATGAGCACACGAGTGACGGTGCCATACTTGGAACACTCAGAGGCAACCTCGTCTTCTAGCTCATCGTCTACTTCACCAGGTCCAACCTAAAAAAGTTGAGAAATGCAAGATAAGAAGCAATATTCTCTTCATCTTTGTATATCAGAAGATACGAAAATATGCAATGAATTCAAACGAGAGGTCCTATAAACTTTAAGTGGAATCAAATGGATTCAAAAGCTTAAAGCTAATGGTTACAGGTTTAAGTTTTGTTTGGGACGACTTTTTTGATGCTTTATAAAATAACTTTTTAGTACAAATATTAAAATTTTTGTACTAGAAAACTTTTTTAAGAAATAATAAAAAGCCATCCCAAACGAAGCCTTTATCAGCCAATAAATGATTGGGATTCCATTTCATTTACTGCACGTTCTTTCAATTCAAACAAAGCAAAATTTTCCATGCATGGAGGAAATATTTACCATACATAAACTATTGGAGAAAAAATCTTATATAGGTTGCCACATGATTCCATTGATGAATATTTCAAAGAGAGTAATAAATGCATCACAGGTGAAAAGAACAGAACATCATCTGACGTTTCCTATTTCTCATTTAATTTATCTTTGAAACAAGCAAAGGCAAAGGAAAGGCTGACAAGCAATTTATTAGCATCCATTACAGGATCGAATTGTACAAAGAATATATTCTGACAAAAGAAACTTATTTTGACGATACAGATCGGATTGATGGAACTGACAATATGGCTGTGAAGTACATGAATTAATGGCCTGCCATTTAATTGAAATAAACAAAGCTGAGGCAAAGCGAGAAACAGCGTAAGCAATGGAGAAAAATCAAGCTCGTCAGATTTATTTTCATATTAAGTGTGTGTGTATATATATATATATACATACACACACACATTCTTGAGTTTATTTTCTTAAAAGCTTTAACATGTTCTAGGAATAGGCATCGTGTTAGAGGCACTCGATTGATTATGATTTTATAAATAAAAAACTGAGTTAACATGTTCTCTCTCTCTCTCTCTGATGGGGACATCAGATCATCATGGAGAGTTTATCAGCGACGTGGCTGCCGATCTACGGCCACGAACGAGTCGTTATATTTTTTAGTCGATGTATTTTGTTTTCATGCATTTTATTATTTGCTTATGAGTGTTTATTTTATTTCCCTTTGTACCCCTTTGTATGGGAATGATCATGTGTAAACCTAAGGGCAATTGTGTCATGTCAGTTAGAGTCTTTTGTATGAGGCTATTTAAAGCCCCTTTGTTTTATTTTCAAGATAATGAATGAATGATTATGAAAATTTCTTCCTACACTTGTGTTTGTGAGTTTTGAGAGTTCTTGGAGAGCTTTGGAGAGATCCCTTGGAGAGGGAGATAAGCGCATCACCCACCAACCTTGGAGACGGTCGGGTTCGTGGTTTTACCATCTTTATCTTATCACCACCTCATCGTCGAACTTCCCCACCTTCCACTTCTCACCGCCTGTAAAACCCTTCAAAAAGCTGATTTTTTTTAGTGCAGTTCGTCTGTACGAACTGGATTTAGTACTGGACGAACTGAAGAAATTTGTGAAGAAATCTGTCATTTTCGTCTGTACGAACCTGGAGCAGTCGGGACGATCCGTCAGGACGAAAATTGTCCAGAGAGAAAATCGTCCTGACGATAATTAATTTCGTCTGTACGAAATTTGTCCAGAGAACCCATCGTACCAGGACGAAATTTGGATCGTCCAGGACGATCAGTGTTAATAAATATCGGATTTTAGATATTTTGGATTCATTTTGGAGAGAGAGAAAAGGCAAGAGAGAGAAAGAGAAGGAAAGAGAAGAAGGAAGCTTGGTTTTGGAGGCCACGGAGCGCTTTTCGTCCGACGACGCTGTTAGAAGATTTGTTTGTCTCGCTGTAAGGACTCCGAACCCTATTTCTGTTTTCGAAGATTTTGTATTTTGATCGAGTTGTGCACTGTTTTGTGTTTTTGTAGTCGAACTTTTGACCTGATTTTGTATTGACACGACTTTCACCGCACAACTTTTAGTATGTTATAGATATGAATATTGTACACGATTTAACTATTTTCTACGATGATTTTATCGGTCGGAATTGATTCTACGCGATTTTAATCGAACAGAAAAATATCAGGACTTGATTTGATTTGGTTTCTATAGGATAATAGTCTTGTATTGATGTTATAGATATTCTACTGTAATTTGGTGAGATTTGGAATTTGTGTCTTTTTGCAGGATTTTTGTGTAAATTCGATAGACTACTGTTACTCTGCCCGATTTTTGTATGATTCCTGATTTGACTGAAATTGATAGATTGAATCGATATGCCTATGATTATTGATATGATTGCTCTAATATTGATTATTGATTGCTTATTGATACTGAAACACGTATAACCTGGTTGAACATTGGTTGGAGATGATACCTGTACAGGATGGTGGGCCGACGGGCTTTCCTTTAAATCATAGATCATGGATCATGGATATAACGATGGGAGTCATAAGGAGATTATATGCCGACGGGCGGCCGACGGGCAATAGAGTGACGACTCTTTTCATAGAACCAATGTATTGATATCTACAACAGCAATATGAATTCTACAACAGCAACATGACCATTGATTATACATTGTTCAGTATTATCGTATTGATTGCATGTTTAATGTATTGATTTACGGATTTTACGGATTTGATCGGGTTTACTGTATCGTACGATTTCACTGATTTCATCGATTGACTACTGAACATTGATACTACTGAGAAGGCAGCAGGATTGGAGATTGATCAAAACTGTCAGACGAATCCTTTCACTATGGATGCCTGGGGCGTCACACCGCCGGTCATCTCACCCGACCATTTTCCCTCTCCCAAACCTCTCGGTCTCCCTTTACCCGAGAAACTCCCACCTTGCCGCCACCATTGCCCCATAAGTCGTCGGCCATAGCTCCTGGCCGCCGACCATCCCCCTTCATTCCCCCTTTGATTTGTTTCCTATTTCGGATTTGGTATATTTTGGAATACAATTGAATTTGAATTTCAAAATATTTCATAATATACTAATTCTATTTTAGGAAAGTTTTTGAATGAGATCCCTTTGAGTATTTTCATTCAATTGGATTTAATTTTAAACTTTCCTAATCCTAGAACTTAAATTAGGAAGCTCTAATAATTCCCCTAATTACTCCCATCCCTTATGCATGCCGCCGGCCACATGCTCTCACCCATTAATGCCATATGCAATTATTTCCTAATCCCCAATTCATACTTTGGAAATAATTCAAAATTCCCTTGATTCCTCTGACCGAATTTTCCTTCACCCGGATTGGATTATGTTATTGCCTAAGTGGTAACATCCCCCTTGGAAATAAAGTAGATTTCCTATTTTCTTTTCCCTGTTTTGCCGCCCAACATCTGTTTTCCCTCTCTCACCCGTAACTCCCCTCCTCCCACTTCTTCTCCACATCTCATCCCCTATTGTTCACAGCCATACATTCAACCCTTCCCATCCATCCTCTCTACGTTTAGAGCTTATTTTCGATCAAAACTGTCAGACGAATCCTTTCACTATGGATGCCTGGGGCGTCACATAACTCCTCTCCAAAATCTATTGGAAAATGCTATAAGCTTCATTTAGGCAATACTGATGTGTTGAAGATCATATAAATACTAATTGAAGTAATCTCGGATTTTTTAAATCCAGTTAATGAATTTGGCCATTCCCCATTCCCACTATTATTCTAGTTGAATATAGGGGCATGCAGATGGTGCAGATTAATGGGATTAATTATTCATTCATTTTTTGGATCACATCTTGGGGTATTGTTGATGTCACAGACCAAGATTGGATGACAATAGATATCGATAATATGGGATATGAGGAGAGTGCTCAACCTTAACTCACTAGAAAAAATCCCAAAAATAAGGCTATGAAGAATGATTTGTATCACAAAAGAAATAAATTTACGGAGATAACAAATGATAAGTAATTCTTTCTTAAAGCAATATAAATTATCATACTTTTCGACATCAAGTAGAACTAGAACATTTCACTAAGGAAAATAGATGAAACAACTACAACTGGAAAACCAAAAGAACCTTAGTATAATTGTTTAAAACATAGAAACTAATACCTAATCCCTATGGAAAAGCAATCTATTGCTGATAAAGCTGCTCTTGTGATGATGGCTCACCAATCAACTTTGCCGAATTTGTAATAATAGCATATGAGTATGTCAGATAAACTCAGTTTAACTTTTGTTTATGAAGGCACAAATGCAAGATATGAGATATGCAATATTATTAAAAAAAAATGAAATGATTAACAGGTCCTCTTATATCATAGCAATTATTGTTATTTCATTAACTTGATCAATCTTATATGTCAACTCTTAAACTAAGATAAATTTGCAATAAAATTTATTAAAAAACATATAAAGAATAGCACTCAATGTATTTGAATGCTATATATATATATATATAAATATAATATGATTCATCATAGTGTCATTGATTATAATGTATAATACATTTTGGTTTTCATAATATCATGAATATAAAAGAAGATGGTCAATGACCAAACATAGTTTGTTAGTCTCTTTCAAAAGAGTGATCACTTGGCACGTCAAACATTATGCCATAGTGTATGTGGCCATATGACAATATGGTGGTGGATGCAATGGAAAGGAAAAGTCAACTAGTGATTCAACTTACAACAATGGTTGGGAAATAACATATATCTCCCTTTGTAGAGGCTATTGAACAACAATAGTGGATGAAAGCTCCTAGGGGTGTCAATTTCGGGTCACGGGTCGAGTTCGGGTCGAACCCAGAACTGACCCGGGTTCAATGGGGTTGACCCTAACCCGACCCAGGTAGGTGAACAGGTTGAAAACTCGGACCCGGACCCAATCCGTCGGGTTTACTCGACCAGACACGGAATGCAGGCTGGCGGAACGCGAGCGCGCAGACGCTGTTGCTCGGGCGCGCGGACTTGGGCGCGCAGGAGGGCGTGCGAGCTCTCAGGTGGGCGCGTAGGCGGCACGCGGGCACGGGTGGCAGACGCGGGCGAGCAG